GGAAAGAGTAGAGAAACTTGTCAGGACCCAGGAACTGAATGTGCGAGTGCAGAAAGGTGATACAAGCAGCATTACATTTCAGTGCGAGGAGAAGGTTTTCAGTGTGAGCAGGTAAATCGTATTGTGAGGACCTGGTAGCATTATGCTTTCAAACTGAAAAATCATGCTCTTGATTACAGTTAGGAATAAACGCCTATATCCCTGTCCGTAGTGACCCATTCATGACCTCTACTTTCATTACTAGTATATCTGACTATACTGTGAATACTTATAACATTAACAATAGATAGATTGACCTTCTTGATGTAATGTTTTTATTCCTCCTTCCTTTCATTCTTATTTCCTTTATTCATCTCCCATTCTTATTTTTTTCTTTATCTTTCCTCTGGCCTTCGCCCCCTTCTTGCCTACTGTATCTTTCATCCTTCCCTTTTATAATCCTTTCTCCTTTCTTTTTGTTTTTTCTCCCTTACTGATGTTTTTTTTCTTTCAGCTTTCCTTTCTTTGCTTTTTCCTTCCTTCCCTTGCTCTTCTTTCTTCCACCCATCTTTTTTCAGTCCTGTTTCTAACTCTTCTTCTTTTCACCTGCCTTCTTTATTCTTCTCTTTCAATTCTGAGCTTGTATTTATGAATTAAATTGTTTTTAGACTTCACCTCTTTCATAAAATATTAAACTTACCTTTCTTTTACATCTTTTTTTCTTTCATTATGCTTTTCCCCTTTTTTCTGCTTTTGCCTTCTTTGCCTTTTGTAATTTTCTTTCTCTCAACTTTTTTTTTGGTTTGGCTCCACTTTTATATCTTTAAATGCACTAACATTTCAACATCCAGCAACTTCTCAGCAATCAGCATCTTTCCGCCATCTTATCAGCGCATTATTTCTTCAGAAATTACGTTTTTCTACATCTTTTGTTTTTTTCATTTTTTATGCTGGTAGACAAGTATAGCTGTGCTGATGAAAGTAATCCACCAGCAAGAGCTCATTAATAGTGCTGGCCCACCAGCATGGTCTTGCTACTGAAGAGGTAGGCTACACCAGCAAGGGCTGGTTGATGTTGCTGTGCCAGATTATAACCTAGATTACTATTGCTCATTATTTAGTACATATTTATGCATTCAGCAGGCCTACACTACTTTAACTGTCCTTGTATCTTTTTTGCCTTTGGTTATTTATACTGTGTATATGAGAACAGAAACACAACATGAACTAAATAATTTAGGCTAGCAATGGCATACAGCTGTTTGTGATTCACTGTTAGTATATAATTTATTCATTAATTGTAAAAGTGGCTATAATACAACACATACAACACATTTTCATTTGGATGCATTGACAATAAATTAATACATTAATACAAAAAAGAAAAGATTTTTGAACATTAAACTTTAAATGGAATCAGTTCACAAAATGTTATAATAGTTATTATAGCTGGCTGTAGTTCTGGAAGTAAATGATTTCTGTAAAGAAATTGCATAACTGACAGGTGAAGCACATTAATTTACACACTTTTTAAATGTTTGACAAATTGCTTATTTAAGGTTTCAATACAATGTTTTTTTTATGTGGACTTTATGAGTAGTTAACAAAAATGAATGGAGTGGCCATTTTTGTCTCTAATTGTTTAACATGTCTGTCATATTTGTGTGTCTTTGTGCTCCTTTTGAGTCTCTGTGTTCATTCCGAGCCTTTTTGTATTTGTGTGTGTCTTTGCAGTATTGTTGTGACTGTGTGGTTATGTTCCTCTTTATGATCATTCTGCATGTGTAGTCATTTTGCATGTCTGTGGTATTTTTGTGCCTCTTTGTAGTTGTTTTGACTCTTGGTAGCAACCACTCTGCATCTATTTCTTTGTCATTTTGCACATCTTTGAGGTTATTTTGTGTCTTTTACAAGTAAGTTGACCAACTTTCCAACAAGACAGTCACTTGAAACAGAGCCTCTGACCCAGGGGCCTCCTAAAACCTTGGGCCTCTGGGCCTGTGCCCAGTAGACCTGTTCAGTAATTCATCCATGATCCCAGCATGCACTGAACCAAATGACTAAAACTCCAGCATTGAAATCATTTTACTGACTCTCAGTACTGAACCAGTATCAAAATATAAATATTTAAAGCTCTGAATTGTTTGGCTGCTTGCTGCATTTCCAACCCTCTCAGTGAAGCCACTTAAGCCCTTTTGATCATCAAGTTTTGTGGTTTTCTGTCTACTTACCATATGATCTAGGGAGAAAAGAAAATTGGTGACTGATGACCTGAGATCTGTCACAACTGCAAATTCAGAACGTTACTCAGATTAGTGACTGGGTGTTGGGATGTTGTTTCCTTGACTGGGGATTTGCACAAACATTTTTTTGCAAAACAGAATTTAATGTTTAATGAAATGTGCAATATGAATTCAGTTAAAACCTGCAAACCATGCAAAGTAGAGTTCAGGCCAGTGATAATTTTTCTGTTTGTTTTCCCTCTGTTTCCTTCCCAGTTTGGAAAGATGAATTTCTTATGCATGCAGTTTGGAATAATGCACTATTGAAAAGCTAACAATTATTTATTTTTATTGATGCAGCATGTCATTAGCGACAAAAAAAACAACGTTTTCTCTACAGGCACCTACAGAAGAAAGCGGGACTTGTAAATATGCATGTTTCCAGATTAACCACCAGGTAGCAGCAGTGTCACGCTGCCATCAACCATCCCTCAGCAAATTATGATCTACAGTGAGGAACAGAAGTATTTGAACACCCTACGATTTTGAAAGTTCTCCCACTTAGAAATCATGGAGGGGTCTGAAATTCACATTGTAGGTGCATTCCCACTCTGAGAGACAGAATTTTAATTAAAAAAAATTTCAGGAAATCACATTGTATGATTTTTAAAGAATTTATAGGTCTTGCACTGCTGAACATAAGTATTTGAACACCTGAGAAAATCAGTGTTAATATTTGGTACAGAGACCTTTGTTTGCAATTACAGAGGTCAAACGTTTCCTGTAGTTCTTGACCAGGTTTGCACACACTGCAACAGGGATTTTGGCCCACTCCTCCACACAGATCTCCTCTAGATCTGTCAGGTTTTGGGGCTGTCGCTGAGCAACGCGGAGTTTAAGCTCCCTCCAAAGATGTTGTATTGGATTGAGGTCTGGAGACTGGCTAGGCCACTCCAGAACCTTGATATGCTTCTTACGGAGCCACTCCTTGGTTATCCTGGCTGTGTGCTTTGGGTCGTTGTCATGTTGGAAGACCCAGCCACGACCCATCTTCAATGCTCTGACTGAGGGAAGGAGGTCGTTGCTCAAAATCTCACAATAAATGGCCCCATTCATCCTCTCCTCAATACGGTGCAGACGTCCTGTCCCCTTCACACAAAAGCACCCCCAAAGCATGATGTTACCACCCCCATGCTTCACAGTAGGGATGGTGTTCTTGAGATGCAACTCAGCCTTCTTTTTCCTCCACACACGACGAGTGAAGTTTAGACCAAAAAGTTCTACCTTGGTCTCATCTGACCACATGACTTTCTCCCATGCCTCCTCTGGATCATCCAGATGGTCTTTGGCAAACTTCAGACGGGCCTGGACATGTGATGACTTGAGCAGGGGAACCTTCCGTGCAATGCATGATTTGAAACCATGACGGCGTAGTGTTCTACCGACAGTGACCTTTGAAACTGTGGTCCCAGCTCTCTTCATGTCATTGACCAGCTCCTCCCTTGTAGTTCTGGACTGATTCCTCACCTTTCTTATCATCAGTGATACCCCACGAGGTGAGATCTTGCATGGCGCCCCAGTCCGAGGGAGACTGACAGTCGTCTTTAGCCTCTTCCATTTTCTAACAATTGCTCCAACAGTTGATCTATTTTCACCAAGCTGCTTGGCAATTGCCCCGTAGCCCTTTCCAGCCTTGCGGAGGTCCACAATTTTGTCTCTGGTGTCTTTTGACAGCTCTTTGGTCTTACCCATGGTAGTAGTTGGCGTCTGACTGACTGTGGGGTGGACAGGTGTCTTTAAAGAGCTCAGACAGGTGCTACTAATTTAGATTAATGAGTGGAGTAGAGGTGGACTTTTTCAAGGCACAGTAACAGGTCTTTGAGAGCCAGAATTCTTGCTGTTTCTCAGGTGTTCAAATACTTATGTTCAGCAGTGCAAGACAAATAAATTCTTTAAAAATCATACAATGTGATTTCCTGAATTTTTTTTTTTAAATCGCCTCTCAGAGTGAGAATGCACCTACAATGTGAATTTCAGACCCCTCCATGATTTCTAAGTGGGAGAACTTGCAAAATCGCAGGGTGTTCAAATACTTCTGTTCCTCATTGTAATTTACAATTTCATTTGTTGTTATCTGGCGTGAACACAGAGAAAACACACAGCTAAATTCTACTTAATTGTATGTTTAGTAACACAATAAAAAAAATACAGAATAAATACA